CCTGACAGAACTGGAGAGGATCTGCAAGGAGGAATGGCAGAGGATCCCCAAATCCAGGTGTGAAAAACTTGTTGCATCTTTCCCAAAAAGACTCATGGCTGTATTAGATCAAAAGGGTGCTTCTACTAAATACTGAGCAAAGGGTCTGAATACTTAGGACCATGTGATATTTCAGTTTTTCTTTTTTAATAAATCTGCAAAAATGTCAACGATTCTGTGTTTTTCTGTCAATATGGGGTGCTGTGTGTACATTAATGAGGAAAAAAAATTAACTTAAATGATTTTAGCAAATGGCTGCAATATAACAAAGAGTGAAAAATTTAAGGGGGTCTGAATACTTTCCGTACCCACTGTATCTACAGTTTTCTGAAGTCATACGATCCATTGGAAGATTTCAGTAAAACTGTCTCCTCCTCCTCGAATCTCATTGGTTCTGACAGATATTCAGACTCATTGCTCTTATTTGATGTCTGTAATGTCCAGCCAAGCACAGCTTAAAGTGAGTCTCACAAGTAAATGACAGTGAGTTTGCCAGTTAATGAGTTTATATTTTGGGTTAATGGACTCATTAATGTCATTCCCAGCTGGTATAACTGGTGTAAAACTGTTGTTTCAGTACAAGGGTTGGGTGTCAGATGAGCAGACGTCTTTCACTTTTACCCGGGATGCATTTGAAACGTAAATGGCAATGATAGAGTGTGGTTTGAGTTATTGGAGTTTAGCATTGAACTCCTGTGATTGGGTTATTTGAGACGGATGGACTGGGGACGAGGCGTTATGAAAGTTACAGAATGTTTCAAACTCTCATTTTTCCAAAGATCAGGTAAAACACGGCCCTGTCCCAAATGCTGTGAGCGCAGGTCTGCATCAAGCGCTCCATTCGGGACACGGCCTTCGATTTCCCATCATGTGAGTTAGAGCTGGGAGATTTTTATGATTTTATTGATTAATTTGAATTTAATGTTTTGCCACGATTTTATTTTTTATAAATCGAGGAATCGCAATTTTAAATATAGAAATATTACCAAACGTTAGAATTAGACACTTTGGCAATATGCCAATGATAACAGTAAAGAGAAAAGAACGATCCAACTGCATGTCAGCGCACGTGATGTGATGCAAGTCACCTTTATTTATTTATTTATTAACAATACAGATTGTGTCAAAGCAGCTTCACAGTATTAAATAGGAAAAACTCATATCGCTAGGAGCCATTCACACAGAATGCAGTTTTGTGTTGACAAAGACGCGAGCAGTGGAACAGGAAAACATGGGAGTGAACTTCTGTTAACTTGAGCGTTGCATGTTTTTAGACTGCTGTTTCATGCATTAAGACGCGAGCACAACAGTCAAACACGTCCATGTTTACACAGAAAAACAATGGAAAAGCAGCGCAGTCGAATAAAAAAACCTGTAAAGAAGTACTGCGGTATGACTGATATTTCATGTGTGCATCACGGTGACAGACTGAAAGCTGCTGTTCATTGTTTTTACAGAACATTTATAGTTAATTCAGTCATTCAGTCATTTTGAGTTTGAATTACCTTGACTTTCGAGAATTTTTTTTAAAGCATTTTCCTCGTATTATTTCTGAGCATATAATATGCATAAGACAAGTTTGTACAAGATGTAGTGGTATTTCATGCATCTTTTGTGCAAAGAATAACATTTACATCATGTTGACAACTCATTGTGTGATGCACTTGGAATAGAATTTTCTGTAGTTAGAAGGTTAATAAAGAAAAAGTTACTTGATTCATGTTGTAGATACATTATTCAAGTTGACTACCCTAGTAAAAAAAGTCATATATTTAAAACACATTTATTTCATACTAAGTATAGTTCAAATCTATTAACATGTTTACTGACATATCACACGAGACTTACTGATATAAAAAATTATAATTAAACTTTATTTTAGTATCACTTGTGCACAATGCACATTTCTTAATATTAAGCCTAAAATGTGTTTTAATGTCACTATTGATTAGGATTGTATGACCTTTGAATAAAATCAGTCAAGATATTTAAAGTGTACCTGAAGTATACTTGCAATAGTTCCACTTTAGCACAATTGAAGTATACCAGTTTAGTATTCTAAAAGTACAATTGCAGGGTATTTTTATCAAGTACATGAATAAGTAAATGTATTTGTAGAATACTTAGCATGAAATAAATTTATTTCAAATGCATTTTAGTATATTTATTCTTCTCTAGGGTAGTTAAAATTGTAGAAATCAAGAATTGGTCAAACGTTCTGAAAAAGTCGAGATTTCAGTTTTTTTGCCCAGCTCTAATATGAGCCCTGTAAAGCTGATCATTTGCTCTGGGTTGTTCTCAGGCAGCGTCTCTGGAGGAGAGCTTCAGCGCAGACTTGGCCTTTCCTCTGAGCCTGCCGCTGTCTGATGCAGCGGTGTGTCCGTCTGAAGCCGAGCCCGCTCCGCTCCTCCACACCAGCGCCTTCGTCTCCTGCGACCACAACTACACGGTGGAGGACACGCTGCAGCAGAAGAGATGCATCGAGCAGCTGCAGGAGCAGATGGAGAAGCTGCGCAAGAGACTGAAGATGGTGCAGCAGAAGTGCAGGCGGCAGGAGAGGCAGCTGGAGCGCTTCAGAGCCATGAGCGAGGTCCAGAGGGACACGGCGCTGGGAGACAGCTACGTTGTCCTGCCCAAAGAGATCTACGACGTCCTGAAAGGAATAGAGACCATCGGTGCGTTGTGAGGGAAGTCGAGCGAGAGAGAGTGTCACGGTTTTAAGTGGTTTTAGCTTTTCCTTTAGGGGTTTTAATTCTTCTGTCAATCATGACTTGTGTTCTGAATGTGTGTGACCGTGTTCTCTTTGACTGAAGGAGGTTCAGATGGACAGAATGAGGTGTAGCTTCTGGAGGTGTCGATGTCGGTTCTAGTCACAGATCTTTGTGGAACCGAATGTCGTTTCAGGAGAGGATCATCCGCTTCAGAGCAGAACTAACTCAATAACTGCGTGAGAGGATTCAGGTGTGATCGTTTGCAGCGTTGAATTCATCTGATTCGGTCAGAGTAACTAGCACTTGTGAAAATAGTCCATGCGCTTGGATGCCAGATGAGCCCCGGTGCACGAGAGACTCGACCGACGCTGGAGCTGATGCTGACTCTGTGACAAACGCTTCAGTAAATCAGGTTCTCATTATCTGCAGATTTGTTGAAATGGCAGCAGATCAGTGTTTATTCTGTTATTAAATGTTTTTTCTAATTTAAACCTCTAGAATTTATACTGACTAGTTTGTTTTGATTTGATGAATGTACTAAGATGACCAAACTGGACTTCACTAAACACATTTTCAGTAGCCTTAGTCACATATCAAAGGGCTTTGCGCTGTTCGCTGTTGTTTTTCACCCCTTACTGATTCATTTATTATTTACAAAACTTTAATAATCGTGGAATCAATTTAAGCCACATGGGTAAAAATAGATTTTTTTGCTGGGAAAACTTCATTCATAGTTGCCTTACGTCACAGTGCATTGTTCATGTGTTTGACTGTTTCAATACAACACTCTCATTCTTGAGCTGAGCTTGTGCTTGAATGAGTTTCAGTGTCATCTAAATGTCACGCTTTATTACGGTCTTGTACTGACACACTTATTGGAAGATGATTGTATATATGGTCAATAGCTGTATATATGGTCCAAGGCACAACCCTTACAAAACTCTATACCACAATAATGAATGTTTCCTCCAAAATATGAATTACTACACTCGGATCATAACAAATAAATATGATAAATGATTCAAACTGTGTAAGAGTCTTTTTCAGAATCTCTTTGATTTCTCTATCATTGGAATGTTTATGAAAAGGATGGCTAATAACTGTAGTAACTATTATGGTGAATGTGTGTGAGGGTAAACGCAACAGCAGCATGAGCTCAACACCCGTGTTTTGATCATCACAAAAATGAAGTTCATTAACATGCTGCGTGTTACTCATAACCTTGAAGATAGTTCGTTGACCAATGCCTTTCCACCATCAGATTAAACAAACTCTCTTCTAGGAGCTATGAAACCAGTCTGTTTAGTTTAGTATTTTTTATTTGGGGTCATTTAAGTAATAATGACATTTATAGATATATTTATAGAAATAATGTTGTGAACCAAATATGTAGTGGAGAGTGGGGCGGGCGGCTAAAACTAACCTGTCTCATGACGGTCTAAACCCAGCTCACATCAGTCACATCCATCAAATATGGAAATTGAGTTCTCTTATCTGTTTGATGCTGATTCCTGTAGTCCGCTACAGTATCACATCAGATAGTGTGCTATAGATCCCCTGAGAAACATTTCCACTCATTCTCTCATCAAAACCTACTTGTACAATAGATCCTATTCAATCTAAGCTACTAAAAGAGGTGCTTCCAGAAGTCATAGATCCTCTTCTGAATATTATTAATTTGTCAATGTCATTAGGATATATTTTTTTACCTTTATTTATATAGCGCTTTATACAATATTGATTGTGTCAAAGGAGCTTTACAGTGTCAACAGGAAAATAGTTTCAATAATGCAAGAGGACAATAACATTCATTTTTTCCAGCTGAAGTCAGTTCATTGATGATTCAGTGATGTCATCATTCAGTTCAGCTCACTTCCAAAAGTGTCTCTTCAATCAGGATATGTCCCAAAAACCTTCAAACTGGCTGTAATTAACACTCGTTTAAAAAAAACAACAACTTGATCCTAGAGAATTAGTTAATTACAGACTGATCTCGAATCTCCCTTTTCTGTCCAAGATATTAGAAAAGGTAGTATCCTCACAATTATATTCCTTCTTAGAGAAAAATGGTATCTGTGAGGATTTCCAGTCAGGATTTAGACCGTATCATAGTACTGAGACTGCTCTCATTAGAGTTACAAATGACCTGCTCTTATCATCTGATCGTGGTTGTATCTCTCTATTAGTGCTACTGGATCTTAGTGCTGCGTTCGACACTATTGACCACGACATTCTTTTGAAAAGACTAGAAAACTTTGTTGGCATTAATGGAAGTGCATTAGCATGGTTCAAATCGTACTTATCTGACCGCCATCAATTCGTAGCAGTGAATGAAGAGGTATCATATCAATCACAAGTGCAGTATGGAGTACCTCAAGGCTCAGTACTAGGGCCGTTACTCTTCACACTTTACATGTTACCCTTGGGAGATATCATCAGGAAACACGGTGTTAGCTTTCACTGTTATGCTGATGATACTCAGCTCTATATTTTCTGTATCTATATTAACTATATTTTCACCGTGTTGTGATAAAGGTGGAAAGTAGCTCTATTTAACAATGAATGACACCTCACCTAAACTTGTGCTATTTTGGCTGTAATCTCGCCTTTATTTTCTTACTTTTATTTATGATAATAAAGGCAAGTGCAGTAAACCCACAACATGGGCCACATTATTATATCATAACAGCCCTAAAACTAATCCTGAAAAGCAGGCTCATGTAATGTGAACACTAGATAACAGTGTTGGTCGGTTATTGACTTGTTTTACTTATTGCAAAAAACACGCACACACACACACACACACACACACACACACACACAAAACACATTTGTAATTCAAGGAAAGCGTTCGTTAGGAAACATACATTGCTGAGTGTGTTAGATGTTATAGATCAGAGAGCTGTCATGAATCTGTGTGACCGCTAGATGGCGCCACTGCTCATTCTTAAAATCACACGCATTAGAGCTCTCTCTCTCTCTCTCTCACACACACACACACACACACACACACGCGCATTCGGAGCAGCAGCTGCTCGGTAAGTGTTACTTAGCCTTTTGTCGGATTTTCACAAACTTCACAGTACACACACACAGTATCAGTGTTTTTGCCGTTTTATCCCGTGTCAGACTCACGGTGTTTTGGGATAGTGTTGGGACGAAACGAGATGTGTCCTGTATAATATTATTATCCGAAAGCTACAGGAGATATATCGTGACTTCTTGCGAGATATAAAACTTCTAAAGAGCATTTATTGATAATAGCGATTCACCTTTTTGCCTCACACAGAAGTGTAAATATTACTCCAGTAACAAGTCTTTGTGATGTAAGAACTCAATTAATTAGTTAAAGGCACTGGGTCAATGTCTAGAGAGGTTTGTATGCAGCTTTTGCATTAGTCAGGTGAGTTTTGTTCCTTCGGTTTAGTGTGTTAATTCATAACTAGAGGAAGGAGTTTAGACGAGTTTAGAACAAAACCGCACTGGATTCTTATATTGCAGTGAGGTTACAGCAGACAGATGAGATGAGATGAGATGAGATGAGATGAGGGGTCGTGTCGTGTCCTCCTGTCTTTGTTATGCAACCTGGTCCTGGCACAGAACCTGATGAAAACCGGCTCGGATAGAGAGACCAGCTCTTCTCAACTGACGGGTGAGATCGCAGACAGAAGAGAAACATAGTTTGTGTGACCTACAGTGTGTTGATTATTGGCTGTCAACCACTGAAAACGAACAGTTAGGAATTAAACGCTCATACTGTAAGGACAGTGGAAAACTTCAATGTTTTTGGTCAAGTCAAGTCAGCTTTATTTATATAGCGCTTTTAACAATACAGATTGTGTCAAAGCAGCTTTACAGTATTAAATAGGAAAATAGTGAGTCAATAATGCAAACGGAAAATAGTTAAACACTGTTTTTCAGTTAAAGGCAGTTCAGCCTGTGTACTCTGTAGAACCTGTGTATTGCTGGGTGTATGCAATAAAAGATACTAATAATAATTTTTGTTAATTTTGTACTGGTCGCTGCTTAATGTCCAATGTAAAATGTGGGTCAAACCGGTCGAGAAGCGGTGAAGCAGGCGTGATGTTAGTGTTTTGACACGCGTGTGATACTGTAGGTAAAAGGCCTCTTCATTAATCACTATCAGACCCTTTCTGTTCGTTTTCTCCTAGAAAACAAGTACTGACCATTATAGAACACCTTTTTCATATAGTATTATGCTATATTTCCTTTCCTTGATCCTGTTGAACAGCGCTTTAATCAGGAAGGGATCTGGGCAGTAATTATGAACCTGATCAGACCTGAACTGATAAAACACACCTAATTTGCATTTAGGGGTGGGCTATATAGCCCTAACGATATTTATGACGATATAGAAAAAAAACATGGAACAACGTTTTATTGGTGATTGCAGCTCGCAGGCAGCAGCATTTATTGTGCAAACACCTTTTCCAATGAGCTACTGTCATCGATGACAGACTACCTAATTCGAAGTGTAAATCTGCTGTCATAAGGTTGCAGCAGCAGCTGTGTGTTCGACTTGAAGCAGACCAATCGGTGTATGATGTCAAAATACCGCGAGAGTGACTTACCCCTTATTTACCCCTAATTTACACTGCACTTATACGGCTCTGATGCGGTCACTCTAGTCAATGCTTGTGTTTACACCAGCGGCGGCACTTTCAGAAGCGTATCTTCGCTAAAGATATGCGCCTCGCCTATTTTTGACGGTAAGAGTGTGCGCTCGAATATGCTCTAGAGCCGCTCTCGCGATACTTCGATGTCATACACCGATCAGTATGCGCGATACTTTGATGTCATACACTGATCAGTCTGCGCAGCGCTGCTTTAAGTCGAACAAACCTATTGGGTTTGTGGTGGTGTTGTTGTGCGCGCTAGGGAACTTATATCCGCCATACGTCATCGCGGCACTATATCATTGATATCACGATATGACACTTTTTTTTATCATGTAAAAATTTATACCGGTATTATCGTGGACGGTATGATATGGCACACCCCTATTTGCATTGTATGAAAGTGTTTGCGAAAGCATTACTATAGGACAGATTGAATGTTTATTACTCGCTGGTTTGCAGATACTTTTTATCCACAGCAATTAAAACGAGATGGATCTAATTGCGCATTTTGTGAATTTTTTTTCTGCAGTGACTCGGATCACAAGAATGTGCAGTTAGTTATCTGTCCTGTTTGAAAACTAGGGCACATAATGAGAGTTAAACACTGACTGGCAAGAAAACAGACTGACTCATTGGTAACATGTAGAAAACAGGCAAAACTCAGCATCAGTCTGCTGATCTTCACTGCACTTTCTCCATGTCTCTGTGAAACAGCAGCGCTTCAATCCCTCATTCAATGCTCATACGACTTTCTCCTCCTGTGTTCTCTCCTTCATTCGACTCTGTCCTCCTCGTTCTGTGTCTCCAGGACCTGCTGTGTTTCTGAATGCTGTCTTGGGTGGAAAGTAGGCCAGGATCAGACACTGGGCCGTTTGTGTCTATAGCGTCTTAACAGGCTGGTTTCAAGAGGTTTAGTAAGGAATAAGGATATCCCTTTATTCCTTCTACCTCATGTTTTCTGTTTGGAACAGAGCTCATGAAATGTGGTGTGAAGGATGGGTTGAGTCAGATTGTTAATAATGGCCGGCTCGCTGTAATTGTAAAATGTCACGGTGTCGTCTTGAGCTGTTTCTGTTTGACTGAATGTTCTGATGCGCCAAATCTCAGAGTGTTTTATAGGGATGTAACTATATTATCAATATTGTGATATCGCGATAGCAAAACTGTCTCGATATTATCGTGGTCACATGACCATATGAAACGATAGGTCTTCCGGGCAAAAAGTGTAGTTTTTAAAATATATTTAAACTTCTTATTCTAACATAAACAGTCTTTAAAGTTGTGTGTTGGGGCATTATGCTTTGGCACAGTATCTGTCAAACGAACTCAAACCGAAAGCACAATATGCTTCATCAAGTCTGTTTTCGCTGCAGGTTTCAAAGTGAA